AGGCCCTGGAGAGTAAATGTCACCCTAACTCTTCTTCCGCCAAAGTTATTGTCCTTGAACTTGTGCGAGAACAAACTGTACCATCTGGATGGCCTGTCTGACATTATAGATAAGACCACAGATATCAAGATCCTGAACCTCTCCAAAAATGAGGTGAGAGGAGGCAGCCAGATCAAATTTGGGTGAGTGGGAGGTAGTGCGTACCGGGGTGATGACAACAGGCAGGCATAGGTACCTCTGGATGAAGGATGGGACTGAGGGTTCCAAGGTCCCGGATGTCTCTCTTTCCCTGGGACTCCCTCCCCACTTCCCCCCTTATCTTTCTCAGCTGAAGTCGGCTTGTGAGTTGGCCAAGGTGAAAGCACTGAAGCTGGAAGAGCTGTGGCTAGAAGGGAATCCGCTGTGCAGCACCTTCTCAGACAAGTCTGCCTACATAAGGTCAGTGGTAACCGCTGTCACACTTCCTGTGTGCCTTCATCCCCCAGGAGACCGAGCTGCTCCTGACAGTGCCCTTCTGCAGGAAGAGGCAGCCTTGGCCTCTGGGAGGACCACAGGCCCTGGCCTCTCTTCTGTCTCTGTGTCCCTCAGCTGTGCTTATAGAGCTCCCTTCTTTCCCTGACCTGCTCGCCTTTTCTGCTGCTCTGGTGTGTGTTTGCCACCACTCTGTACCCAGCCTCCTCCAGGACGCCCTGAATGAGTGTGTGCCAGGAAGCAGGTCTCCCCTCCTCACCAGAACCAGGGCTGTCCAACTTGGACCAGATGCTGGGGCCCTGGATGGAGAAGTCCAAGACCCCATGATGACCCAGGCCTTCCTGCCTCCTTGTTGAATGGGCCTTCCCTCCCCTCTACTGAGAGGGACTCTCCTTCCCTTGCTCTGTAACCGCTCACTCTCCTGTCCCAAGATGACATGGTAGCTTCCCAGACTCATGCTGAGGGTCAAGGCCCTGAGTGGCTGCTGTTGTGACATCTTTTCCTCTGGTGCAATGGCAGGAGATGGGCCCTTCTTGGGGAGAAAGCTGGGTTCCCTGCATCGAGAGACCAGAAGTGAGCAGAGGGCTTCCTGAAGGAGGAGTGGGAGGCAGAGGGCAGAGGAAGTTGAGGGGACAGGAGGACAGGCCTCTTTCCTCCCTACCCCACCCTTCCCTCCTCCCACACCTCACAGCATCCTGCCTAGTCCTTCAGAGGTGACCTCGGTATTCCCAGGTGGGAATGGCTCCTTGGTCAAGGCACCAGCTGTGATGGACACAGCTGTGTGACAACCATCAGGAGAGAACCTGGTGATCCTGAGAGGGGACCCCAGCCCCTCAACCCCATGCTGATCTGGGGCCTGATGCTTCACTCCTGGGGGAAGGTCTCCCGCACCCATGGCTGCTACAGTTCCAACGCCCAGCTCAGTGGGCTCACCACGGTGACAAAGGCCCTGGCTGCTTCCAGTGGGCCCCAGGCCAACAGGTGCATGGTTCCCATTCCTGGCTCTTTGTCCAGGGCTAGCCAGGGGCAGGTGAGGAAAAGCGCAGCTGCAGGGGAGCCTTCTCGCTTCCTCCCTGACCCCACCACTATGGGAGAGAACTGTTGCTTTCCCTTCCTCGTGCTTTGCTTCCTCTTTCTCCATGGCCTCTGTTCTCCTGTGTCTTTCCCATCTCTTCTTGCCTGAACTTCATGCTCTTTCTGGCATCTCCTCATCTTCCTCACTCTGACTCCTGATTCTGGCCTCGCTAACCTCTCTGCTCCACCACACTTGGCCATCCCTGGGGATGACCTGGTGTCAGCCAGGGCCAGGGCCATGCACAGCAGAATGGCGGACACCTGGTGAGGTAGCAGAGCTCTTGGCTCCTTCCCCATTCCCTCCTCCTTTCAGAGCCTTTCATGGTGTCCTGTAGGAAGGTAAGGGAGGCAGGGAGGGCAAGGAAGCCCTGGAGCCTGACTCTAAATGCTGCTTCATCTGGCGCTGGAGAAGCAAGTAACGGCAGTCCAGCTGGGAACTAACTAGGAGGAAAGAAAGGGAGGACAGCAAGATGGGGAGAGAGAGGAGAAAAATACGAGTGGGGTGGGAAAAAGGAGAGCAAGAGGGAGAGTGCATGCACATTGAGGGAAAAGGGGGAAAGAGAGAGAACGCCACCCTAAACTGTTATTCACTTCATTCTTTTTTGGTTTTGGACAGTGCCATCCAGGATTATTTCCCCAAATTGTTACGTTTGGTAAGTATCTACCATCACCATTGTTTTCTTTCATTCTTACTAACATGCATGACCTCCTCACCTGCTCTCAAACCCTTTGTGTCTTGCCTAGATGACATATATGCATCATACCCTCATTGACTGTAGAGGACACAGATTTTTGAATAATGCAATAATATTCTCTTTGAAATAAATGTCCAAAACATGCATGCATATGTGCGTAAACACACACACAGGTGTTTGCATATAACACCTACTGGAATTTCCAGGGTCCTTTCACTCTTGAACTTTGACCCTTGATCCCCTCTGGGCCTGTTTATTCCATTGGTCCTCCAGTGGTATCTCCCTAGTCTCCACTGCTGACTTTGCCTTCCCTTCTCTAGGATGGACAAGAGTTACCCTCACCAATTATTGTTGACGTTGGAGTCCCTGAGTTGATAAAACCCTCCCAGGTAAGGAAAAAGAACCAAGCAAGATGTGGGGTGACTCGAGGGATGCTTTGTTATCTACATAGTCTAAAATGTCTTTTGATTCCAGGAACACGGTCAAGGATCTGATAGAATAAAGAGTCTAGTCCTAGAATTCCTGAAGCAGTAAGTACCATTAGGAACCATAGGGAAAGGGAGAGATGGGACAGACTTGGCCATCCAAGCTCTAGCCTGCTCATGGGAGTTTTCAAATCTCATTTAGGAACCAGATCCCAGAAGTAGCCTATCCCCATTGCTCCCCACAGGTATTATTCCATCTATGACTATGGAAACAGGCAGGGTCTCCTCGGTGCTTACCATGATGAGGCCTGCTTTTCCTTGACCATTCCCATCAACAGCGAGGACTCTGCTTCGTGAGTATCAAGGCTCAGACTCTGCTCTGAGGCTGTGTGGCTCCCCAGCAGTCACAGGCCAGCTCATGGAAATGCCTGCACTGGATGGACCACCACCCCCTGTTCCTCTTTCCCTCCTAGGAGCAGCTTGTGTGAGTACTTCAAGGAAAGCAGGAATTTGAAAATGATCAAGGACCCCTGTGAGAGTGTGACAGGGAAGACTGAGCAAGGTAAAGGGGTGTGTGATATGAAGGGGACATTCATAAAGGCCCAGTGCCAAGGTGTGGCAGCCTCAATCTTTGCTTCTCCTTCGCTCACAGACCTGAGGAGGCGGCTGCTGAAGCACACAAAATGTGAAATCGTGGACACCCTCATAACGTTGCCTAAAACTCAGCATGACTTCAACTCCTTCCGGGTGGACATGTGGTTCCAGACGGTGAGTGCCTGCTTCCTCCCTCAGGCAGGCCCAGGAAGCCAGAGGTGGGTGGGAGGTGAAGGATGGTCCTGAAAATCTGGGCTCTTCCTTTTCAGGAAAAGATGCTTTGCTTTTCTATCAACGGGGTGTTCAAGGAAAGTGAGTATCAGTCGGGTCCCCTCCCAGGTCCCGCACTGTTCCTTGCCCTGTCTGGGCTTCCCCCTCGGAACTCTCCCAGATCCCCTGATTTCATTGCTTTTCTTCCACTTCTTCCCTCTGTGTTCTCTGACCCTCACCCTGCTGAAAAACCATCCTGGTCTGACCTAGGTTCATGCTTGTATGCCGTGCCGCGTGGCTCAGATGCTAAGGACACAGGCTGTGGACCCTGATGGCTCTCATCCTGGCTCCTTATTCTGTGAACCTGGGGCAGTCACTTAACCCCTCAGTTTCCTCATTTGAAGAGTAGGGCTAAGAATAACCCTCTCTTGGGTTCCTGTGACACAGGAATCAAGTGAACTTGGGAAGTGGTTTTCACAGGGTCTGACCTTACACATGATAGGGGCCTTGTCACTGGGAGTGGATTCTTCCTATTGCTGCCCTTCCCATTTCCACCACACCCTCTTGCCTATTAAGTGAGCAGTTGATCTGGTCTGGGCCCCTTCCGAGTGAGTATAAAAGTAAAACCCTGACTGGGGAATGGCTTGTGAGCAAGTAAAGCGTGTGCAACTCTGAGCGGGTATTGTTTGTTGTCTTTGAAGCGGAAGGAGAATATCAGGATTCTGTTCTTGCCTTCAGTCGGACCTTCATCGCTACCCCTGGAAGCAATTCCAAGTAAGTGCTATGTTGTGGGTGTGAACACCCATCTCAGATTGGGGCTGGTGGTGTGGTAATGTGGTAGTACAGTCCTCCAGGTAGTCTCAGTATTGTGAAAGGCCAACAGGTAGATCCAAGGAGCAATCTAGCCTTGTGTTTAAAGAGTGTGGGCTCTGCAGTCCAAATACAAGCTCCCTTCCTGACCCCCAGCAGTCACTAACTGTGTAAACTTCATCAAGCTACTTGACCTCTGTGTGATTAAGTGCCTTCCCCTGTAAGTGGTGATAAGAGTATATCCACTTGGGCTGTTGTACAGGGTAAACGCTTTGGGGTTAAATCTACAAATCTAGAGAATCTGGCAGTCTCTCCAAAGGTGGGCTCCCAGCCAAGGAAGGTGGAAGTCAGGTAGTCAGGATATGGAAGGAGTTTGGCTTCTGAGTAGCAGTGATAAAGGAGTATCTGGTCATTGGAGGTGTGGGGTTGTCTATGTGTCCAAGTGTTTGAGGGTGAATTTTTCCTCTAGTCTGTGCATTGTGAATGATGAGCTGTTTGTGAGGGACGCCAGCTCCCAAGAGACCCAGAGTGCCTTCTCCAATCCAGTGACCACACTGTGCTCTAGCCCCATGGCCATCCTCTCCCAGGAACAGCAGGAAATGGTGCAGGCTTTCTCCACCCAGTCTGGCATGAAACCCAATTGGTCTCAGAAGTGAGTGCTGGGTGTATACAGGGATGGGGGTATTGGGACAGCAGGGGAGTGGATAGTGGAAACTCACAAGCAGTTTGGAAAAATAACTATGTGGCTAGTTTTCTTTCCACAAAATGTGGACTGGTGAAAAAAGCTATCATACTAGACAGAGCCTGTGGCTCAAGGAGTAGGGCACCAGCTCCATATAGTGGAGGTGGCGGGTTCAAACAAGTCCCAGCCAAAATGCTACCAAAAAAAAAAAGCTATCATACTTTTATACTGACACATATGATGAATTTTTAAAGTAATATAGTGCTCACATTACTTTGCCTTCCATATGTAAAGTCTGAAAGGATCCACCACCACAAACTATGAGAACTAATAAACAAGTTTAGCCAGGTTGCAGGATACAATATATACAGCAATCACTACTATTTCTATGTATTTGTCATGAACAGCCCAAAAATGAAATTAAGAAAGCAATCACACCAAAAAGAGTAAAATGCTTAGGAAAACAGGTAACAAAAAAGTGCAAACCTTATCCTCTAGACTCTGCAAAACATTGCTGAAAAAACTGAAGAAGACATAGATAAATAGAAGGACATCTCATTATCACAGATTGTAAGACTATCATTAAGATGGTGACAGTACCCAGAAAAATCCACAGACTTAACACAATCCCAGTCAAAACCTCAGATGGCTTCCTTGCAAAAACTGACACAGTGATCCTAAAACTCATATGGAAATGCAGTAGACTCAGAAAAGCCAAAATAATCTGAGAAGACAAGAACAAAATTAGAGGACTCACACTTCCTGATTTCTAAACATGCTACCAAGCTACAGGAGTAAAGACTGTGTGGTACCGGCATATGGACAGATGCATGAATCAATGGAATAGAGCAGAGAACCCAGAAATAAAGCCATGTAGCTATGACTAACTGATTTTCAACAAAGCAGACAAAAACATACCCTAGGGAAAGGACACCTGCTTCAATAAATGGTGCTGAGAAGGTTGGAGAGACACATGCAAAAGAAGGAAACAGGATCCCTCTCTCTAACCATATACAAAAATCAGCTGAAGATGGATTAAATACTTAAATGTAAGACCTGAAACCACAAAAACTCTATTAAAAAAGCGGTAGGCAAAACTCTTAGAGACCTCGGCCTAGGCGAAGAATTTATGACTGAGACTCCAGTGGCAAATACAGAAGCAACAAAAATAAACAAGTGGAACTCAATTAAAAAGTTTCTGTGCAGCAAGGGAAATAATCAACAAAGTAAATAGACAACCTAGAGAATGGAGGAAAATATTTGCAAACCCTTCATATGACATACTTTTGCCAACCAGCGTGAGGAAGGAGACTGAACCAGAGTGGTTCTTTCCCTGAATGTCTTCCCAGGCTGTGGGGGCCCTGCCGCCTCGCGGCCCATTCCCCACAACAAATGACTAATATCCAGACCTACAGAGAACTCAAACAAATCCGCAAGAAAGGACAAACAACCCCATTAAAAATTGGCCAAAAGACATGAACACTCTTTTCAAAAGATAGACAAATGGCCCACAAACATATGAAAAAATGCTCAGCATCACTAATCATCAAGAAAATGCAGATTAAAACCACAGTGAGCGGCTCGGCGCCTGTGGCTTAATTGGCTAAGGCGCCAGCCACATACACCTAAGGTGGCGGGTTCGAATCCCCAGGCGTTGTGGCAGGCGCCTGTAGTCCCAGCTATTGGGAGGCTGAGGCAGGAGACTCACTTGAGCCCAGGAGTTGGAGGTTGCTATGAGCATGATGCCATGGCACTCTACCCAGGGGGATAGCTTGAG